GGCCCAAACAAACCAAATGTCCAAACCAGCTATTCCCCAGTGTAAGAGTGGGCCAGCTACCACCAGGGTTTGGATCCTCATGGACAGAGTTGGGGCAGGGTAACCTCCCTAAAACATCCAAGAGTTGGTACATGCTGAGAGGTAAGTCCCAGTAAATGTTCTTGAAGAGTTCCAAGTAGCAAGCCAGGTAATCAAGATCAGTGCAGGTCCAGTGGAAAGAAAGCATGATCTAGAGCCAGTAAAGGAGGCAGGGTAGGCCTTGGGCAATGACCATATATGGAATTTGCCCATTTTTTGGCTGTTGTGTAGGGCTGGATAAAAGGTACAGGGTGAGAGTGGGAGAGACAGAAACAGAGAGACAGACTAACAGATTGACAGACTGTTTAGCTCCAAGTTGGAACTCTTAAAATGTTCGCTTCCTTTTCTTCCTCCCAACAAGAAGTCGCAGCACTCAAAAAAGAACATAAAAGGACACCTGGGTGGCTCAGTCAGTTGAGTATCTGACTCTTGATTTCAGCTCAGGTCATGATCTCATGATTTGTTGGATGGAGCCCCGCATCAGGCTCTGTGCTGACAGCTCAGAGCCTGCTTGGGATTCTCTCTCTCCCTCTCTCTCCCCAAGTAGATAATCTTTAAAAAACAAAACAAAACAGGGGCACATGGGTAGCTCAGTCAGTTGAGTGTCCAACTTCAGTTTAGGTCATGATCTCATGGTTCACGAGTTCGAGTCCCACATGGGGCTCACTGCTGTCAGCACAGAGCCAGCTTCAGTTCTTCTGTCCTCCTTTCTCTCTCTGCCCCTCCCCAGCTCACACTCTCTCTCCCTCAAAAATAAATAAACATTAAAAAAAAAAAAAAACAATAGAACATAAAGCTTTCCACCCCTGGATGCCACCGAGTAACCATCATTAAAGTCTCCCCTCCTACCACCATCATGTCTAAGTCAGAGGCTCCCAAAGAGCCTGAACAGCTGCAGAAGCTCTTTATCAGGGGTTTGAGCTTTGAAACAACCAATGAGAGTGTAAGGGGCTATTTTGAACAATGGGGAATGTTTATGGATTGTGTGGTAATCAGAGATCCAAACACCAAGCACTGCAGACCCTTTGAGTTTGTCACATACGCCACTGTGGTGGATGCAGCCACAAATGCAAGGCCACACAAAGTGGATGGAAGAGTTGTGGAACCAAAGAGGGCTGCCTCAAGAGAAGACTCTCAAAGACCTGGTGCCCACTTAATTGTGAAAAAGATTTTTGTTGGTGGTAATAGAGAAGACACCATCTTCTTAGATGGTGATGAAGAACACCATCTAAGAGATTATTTTGAATAGTATGTGAAAACTGAAGTGACTGACATCATGACTGACCAAGGCAGTGCCAAGAACAGTTTTGCTTTTGTAACATTTGATGACTATAACTCCGTAGACAAGATTGTCTTTCAAAAGTAACACACTTTGGGGCGCCTGGGTGGCTCAGTGGGTTAAGCATCCAACTCTTGATTTCAGCTCAGGTCATGATCTCATGGTTTGTGAGTTGGAGCCCTGTGTTAGGCTCTGCACTGACAGTGTGGAGCCTTCTTGGATTCTTTCTTTTTCCCTCTATATCTGCCCCTCCCCGACACTCACACATGCCCTCTCTCTCTCTCTCTCTCCTCTCCCACTCATGTGTGCTCTCTCTCTCAAAATATATATACCATACTGTGAATGGCCACAACTGCAAAGTAAGAAAAGCCCTATCTAAGCAAGAGGTGGCTAGTGCTTCATCCAGACAAAGAGGTTGAAGTGGTTCTGGAAACTTTGGTGGTGGTTGTGGAGGTAGTTTTGGTGGGAATGACAACTTTGGTCATGGAGGAAACTTCAGTGAGCTGGTGGCTTTAGTGGAAGTCCAGGTGGTGGTGGATATGGTGGCAGTGGAGACAGCTATAATGGATTTGGTAATGATGGAAGCAATGGAAACTATAATGATTTGGGCAATTATAACAATCAGTCTTCAAACTCTGGACCCTCGAAAGGAAGAAATTTTGGATGCAGAAGCTCTGGCCACTATGGCGGTGAAGGCCAATATTTTGCCAAACAATGAAACCAAGGTGGCTATGGTGGATCCAGCAGCAGCAGTAGCTATGGCAGTGGCAGAAGGTTTTAATTACTGCTAAGAAACAAAGCTTAGCAGGAGAGGGAAGCCAGAGAAGTGACAGGGAAGCTACAGGTTACCACAGATTTGTGAACTCAGCCAAGAACAGTGGTGGCAGGGCCTAGCTGCTGTATACAAAGAAGACATGTTTTAGACAATACTCATGCGTCCATACACATGGGCAAAAAACTCGAGGACTGTATTTGTGACTAAGTGTAAACAGATTATTTTAGTTTCTCTTCTGTAGAAAATGTAAAGTATTCCAACAAAGGGTTTTAATGTAGATTTTTTTTTTTGCACCCATGCTGTTGATTGTCAAATTGCCTCATCATGTGTCTTTAAAAAACACACAAAACATAAAATGTGGAACACTTCCTCCCTCACTTTGCCTAAAGGTCTATCATGACTTCATATCATTCTTACTATTCATTATTTCAAAGAGACAACTTTTTTTTTCTAAAATCAATCCAATGGGTTCGTCCTGACTCATCGTTCATAATCTGATCCTCAGTCCTTCCTTTTCTAGAGAAATGTTAGTTCCAAAGAACTCAAGGTCTCTTGCAGCCACTTTTACCAGTGATGAACCTTGCTTCATCCAAAAGTACCTCCCTCACCTGCCTCAGCCTTGGCATTGAAGCTTACCATGCATCCAACTGAACTTCAGGGCACTAGGTAGCTGAATAGCTAGTCTAACTTCGGTGAACTGCCCCTCCAGCTCCTTGTTCCAGAATTTCTTGGAAACTACCAGAAAAGTCCACTAGAGGTCACTTTACTGCCACATGCAATGGATAGGGAATTTCAGTTTCATTTCCCCCAAAATGGTTATGAAATGAAGTGTTGATGTTAAAGTTCTAAGAAAATATGAAAACAACTTGGGAATTACCATGTCTTTCCATGCCACAATGCAGAGTGCTCCCAGAATTTCAAACACAGGAGGCTGAAAGTGCTTATGGAAATTATAAAAAATTGAGAGGAAATCAGTTTATTGCTTCCTAAAAGCCACATTCATCACTTATTCCTTCATACTAGACCAGAACCCATATGACTCCACAAAGACACTAGAGCAGGCAGGGTTCCTAATTTGGAGATGGTATATTCTTAGGTATTGGAAGGTCTGTGAACCTCTAAAATTGTGTTTTTCTGAGGATAGAACAATCCTCAAAGAAGTTTAAGAGATGAAAGACTCAGAAATGGGAAGAGCTGCTTTTTTTTCACCAAAGAAAATTGAAAGAGAAATTTGGGCTCAGAAACCCCCTCCAACACTAAGATTTTCTCAGCCAGCCAGAGACAGATCAAGGAATTGATATTTGAGCCTCTGTCCTTTAGAAAGGACCTGAGTGGCAGCAACTGAAAGGCTAGCAAAACTTCAGCATTCCCCACCAAACTAAAAGGTACAGAATAAACGATAATTATGGTTAAGGCAGAATGCAACCTAAAAACAAAGAGAAGATAACATGAGAATGGCTCCCCAGGACCCAAAACCCCAGGCATTAGGGACAAATGGGTTAGAAAAAGGGGTGGAAACCCTCAGTGTGATGCAGATTTGTTTGAAGTGGAGTGACCAGCTACTAAATAGGGGAGTCCCCACAGATCAGCTCACCCCTCCCCCACAGCCCTATGTGAGCTCATAATACCTACCCTTCTGAAAGCAGTTGCCTCGTAGGGATTCAAACTGACCAAAATGGAAAGCTTTGGATGAGTGGAGCTGGGGTCTGCCATCGGTATAAAGTCTGAGAATTCAGAAAGTTCTGAAGTGTGGGCAGGCCTGAAAGAAAAGAGAATTCAGAGAACTGTGATTTATTTCTGTCCCATTAGGGATGGAAGATGCTTTGATACATACTTAAACCATCTCTGGGGAGTTTAGAGTTTAGGATATTTTGGAAAATAAAGGCTTTTGTTTTTGACTGTTACTCCTGATCCTTCCCATCTATTAATTAAATTTGACTTATTAACTTATTAGCAAAAATCCTGTCCATTTGAAGATGGTGCTAGGTATCCTTGTACCAAAATACTCTCCCTAATCCTCTGGGGAAATGACTATATTCACTTGTCTCAGCACTGGGCTTCTTCAGAAATGGTCACGCTTATGGAAAGTTTTATACTATGTCTTAAAAGCAATCTAACCGGAATCCTAGAATGGAATCATCTCAAAATAGAAGCATAGTCTAATTTTGTAGCAGTATGCCATCCGTATAGTCCTAAAGATACTAAACAGGCTCTTTTTAAATCAAAGGATCAAACAGGCACCTCTGTGTACAAGCACTTAGGAAAAAATGAGCCAAATTTATATTTTCAAGCCAATAACATCCAGTAGACTACACAAACAAGTAGAAACAAAACCAAGATATACTGCAAGACTGATTCCAACTCCAAACAAATTCTGTGACCTTCTCAGGTCTCTTACCTTGCTACCACAGATATTCCACTTGATCTGATATTTAGCATATTAATTACAATGTAAAGTGTAAGGATTCAAAGTCCAGGCATTAATCCCTTGGAAACCCTAAGATCTAAGTGCCAATGTAGCTATTTTCTAGTTTTGTGATTTTGAAATTATTTAACTTCAGTTTCCTTATCTGTAAAATAGAAATAATAAGATCTACTTTGTAAGGATTAGGAAAGGAGGTGTGTGTGTGTACTTGAGTTATCCCAGCCTCCTCTCAGATGACAGGGTAAGCCAAAATACAATGTACTCTACAGAAAACACTTGGAGAAACAAAAGTCTCGTATAAAGAACACTAACTGATAAATCCATAATAATACAGAGCATACTGAGGGTTCACTTCTGCCATCACACATAATAAAAATAGACTAAAATTTGTTGCAGATCTATTAAAATTGTTCTTTCAATCATTTGTAGGACAAATAAAAAGCTACCAGAAGACTTGTTTCTACTCAACATCAGAAAAAGTTACCAACAGCAGTCCTAAAACAGAAGGGCTGCCTCTGGAAACTGTGAGTCCTTTGTTACTAGAATCATAGGACAAGGGAAGATGATGGGAGGGAAATGAGGAAGGCACTCAAAGATGTCCAGATGTCAACCACTTGGCTGGACTTTATCAGGTCTCTTCCAAAGCTGAAAACTTTTTTTTTTTTAACTTTGATTTTTTACTTTTGATTTAAGATATATTTAAAACGTCAGATTCTCTTTTTTTCATGGTTTACATACTATTGAATTCAAATTATTTGCATTTTATTTAAAATTATTTTTTAAATTTAAATCCAAATTAGTTAACAGATAGTGTAACAATGATTTCAGGAATAGAATTTAGTGATTCACCCTTACCTACATGTTGCACCCAGTGCTCATTCCAACAAGTATCCTGCTTAATGCCCCTTGCCCATTTAGCCCATCCCCACACCTAACACCCCACCAGCAACCCTCAGTTTGTTCTCTGTATTAAGGGTCTCTTATGGTTTGTCTCCCTTTCTGTTTTTATATTATTTTTGCTTCCCTTCTCTTATGTCCATCTCTTTTGTATCTTAAATTCCACATGAGCGAAATCATGATATTGGTGTTTTTCTGACTGACCTATTTTACTTAGCATAATATACTCTAGTTCCATCCACCTTGTTGCAAGATTTCATTCTTTTTGATCACCAAGTAATAACCGTTGTATATATATACCACATTTTCTTTATCCATTCATTCATCAATGGACATTTGGGCTCTTTCCATACTTTGGTTATTGTCGATAGTGCTGCTGTAAACACTGGGGTGTGTGTGCCCCTTTGAATCAGTACTCCTGTATCCTTTGGATACCTAGTAGTGCAATTGCTGGGTCATATGGTAGTTCTATTTTTAATTTTTTGAGGAACTTCCATACTGTTTTCCAGAGTGGCTGCACCAGTGTGCATTCCCACTGCAGTGCAAAAGGATTCCTCTTTCTCCTCATCCTCTCCAATATCTGTTGTTGCCTGAGTTGTTAATGTTAGCCATTCTGACAGGCGTGAGGTTGTATCTCATTGTGGTTTTGATTTGTATTTCCCTGGTGATGAGAGATGTGGAGCATTTTTTCATGTGTCTGTTAACCATCTGCATGTCTTCCTAGGAGAAGTGTCTATTTATGTCTTTTGCCCATTTCTTCACCAGATTATTTGTTTTTTGGGTGTTGAGTTTGATAAGTTCTTTATAGATTTTGGATACTAACCCTTTATCTGATATGTCATTTGCAAATATCTTCTCCCATTCCATCGGTTGCCTTTTAGTTTTGCTGATTGTTTCCTTCACTGTACAGAAGCTTTTTATCTTGATGAGGTCCCAATAGTTCATTTTTGCTTTTGCCTTGCCTGTGGAATCATGTCAGGTAAGAAGTTGGTGTGGCCGAGGTCAAAGAAGTTGTTGCCTGTTTTCTTCTGTAGGATTTTGATGGCTTCCTGTCTTATGTTTACTTATGAAACTGGACCACCTTCTTACACCATTTGAATTTATTTTTGTGTATGGTGTAAGAAGGTGGTCCAGTTTCATTCTTCTACATGTTGCTCTCCAGTTTTCCCAACACATTTGCTGAAGAGTCTATCTTTTGTCCATTGCATATTCTTTTTTGCTTTGTCAAAGATTAGTTGGCCATATGTTTGTGGGTCCATTTCTAGGTTCTCTCTTCTGTTCCATTGATGTATGTGTCTGCTTTTGTGCCAATACCATACTGTCTTGATGATTACAGCTTTGTAATACAGCTTGAAGCCTGGAATTGTGATGCCTCCAGCTTTGGTTTTCTTTTTCAGGATTGCTTTGGCTATTCGAGGTCTTTTGTGGTTCCATACAAATTTTAGGATTGTTTGTTCTAGCTCGTGAAGAATGCTGGTGTTATTTTTTAGGGATTGCACTGAATATGTAGATTGCTTTGGATAGTATCAACATTTTAACAATATTTTTCCAAACGATGAGCATGGAATGTTTTTCTATTTTGGGGGGGTCTTCTTCAATTTCTTTCATAAGCTTTCTATAGTTTTCAGTGTATAGATTTTTCACCTCTTTGATTAGGTTCATTCCTAGGTACTTTATGGTTTTTGGTATGAAAACTGTTTGCTAGAGAATTACAGAAGGATATTCTATACCAAAACTACACTCATGGGGCACCTGGCTGGCTCAGTTGGTAGAGTGTGTGACTCTTGATCTCCAGGTAGTGTGTTCAAGCCTCACTTTGGGCATAGACTTTACTTAAAAACAAAACAAAAACAAAAATTATACTCTTGATCTACATTACTACTCTTGCTCAACTTTCCAAAAAAGCATCTTCCTACAGTGGTTGCACTAACTGAAGAAAAAATGTTCACATTTTCTGCTTCTTTGCAATTACAGTAAAACTTTGGTTTGTGAGCATAGTTTAGTTTTGGAAACATGCTTGCAATCCAAAGCACTTGCATATCAAAGCAAATTTCAAGAACCATTGGCCCACTGTGATCATGTGACATTCAGCATCACATACTACTTGCATTGCAAGACATCACTCATTTATCAAGTTAAAATTTATTACAAATATTTGCTCATTTTAAGAAACACTTGCAGAACAAGTTATTCCAATCCAAAGTTTAATCCAAAGTCCTGTATTCCTAAAAACACTCATTCACAGGAGCTAGAAACCTAGCTCTAGGACACAGTGGCTTAAAAATCAAAAGCTATAGGAGGGCCTGGCTGGATCAATCAATGGAACGTGTGACTCTCAAACTGAGGTTGGAGCCCTACATTGGGTGTAGACAGTACTAAAAAAATAAACTTAAAAAAAAATAAGTGAAATAAAATGTTTTTAAAAAGCAAAAGCTACACTAATGACATAAAAAAAGAATTTTATAGCATTGTTCAGCTTGTTCAGAAATGAAACAAACTTTTATGTATATATTTGAATTCAATTCTCTAGTTTATCTTCCTAATGAAATACTCACCTGTTTTCCTAAGAATTGTAAGAAAAACAAAAATATTATCAGAGCATCTGAAGGCTTTTAACATTAAAGTAAGTTATAAGCCACCAAATAGATGTTGTGTGTGGCATACCTAAAAGCAGACCCGAAGTTGAGAGCTGCCAGTTGTCTCAGTGTATGTATAGACCAAAGCACCGTACATAGTAGAAGTATACATAGGAATCTCTGGAGTCTTCCTGGATTCAAATCCTGGTGTTGCTACCTGTTAACTACATGACCTAAAACAAGTTACTTGATCTCCATACCTCAGTGTCTTCATTTCTAAATGGGAATAACAGTATATACTTCATGGGCTTAGTGTGAGGATTAAATGACAAAATACTTACAAAGCTGCATGAATAGTCCCTGGGCATAAAAGTGAGTGTTTATGAAATAATAGGTACCATTAACACAATAGCTCCCACTGGATAGGTGATAGACTTGTTAAATATTTTTAAATGAAATTTGTTTATAAAAACAATATATGCTTATTGTAGAATGTGGAAATGACTACAAAGAATTTAAAAAGGATATTAATCACCCATAATCCTAACAATTAAAGAAAGGACTATTACATTTGGCATATTCCTTCTAAATATTTTTTCTTGTATATTTTTCCATGGTTGAGGATCTTATGTTCACAGTCTGGTAGACTGAGGAATAGGTTTAGAGCTGCACCTTCTTCAGTGTCATAGGTGAGATGACAGATACCATGAAAAACTATATTTTCCTCTTTTTCATTATCTTTTTTTTCCCAGGACTTTACTATCTACATAGTAAAGACATAGCCCTGTAATCCCTGGCTACTTTTTTTTTTTTTTTTTTTAAGGTTTTATTGGTAAGTAATCTCTACATCCAACATGGGGCTCAAACAACCACAAGATCAAAAGTTACATGCTCTAGTTCTACCAACTGAGCCAGCCAGGTGCCCCTCCCTGGCTTCTTAATGCGAACTTTCTCACTTTCAAATGTAAGCACCTCAGGAGGTGAGGTACCCACTTCTGTAACCCAAACTTCTCTTCTCCCTTTTTCTCCAATGCCAGACTGGCCCTGAAGAATTCCTCCCCTGGACTGTGTGGAGACAGATGTTTAGAAATGGAGTTTCTTCCCACCATGATTTCCTTTAACATTTTTTAACTATAAAAATTACATAAAGTGGGGCACCTGAGTGACTCAGTTAAGCATCCGACTTTTTTTTTTTAATGTTTTATTTATTTTTGAGACAGAGAGAGAGCATGAACGGGGGAGGGTCAGAGAGAGAGGGAGACACAGAATCTGAAGCAGGCTCCAGGCTCTGAGCTATCAGCACAGAGCCCGACGCAGGGCTCAAACTCACGGACCGTGAGATCATGACATGAGCCGAAGTCGGACGCTTAACCGACTGAGCCACCCAGGCGCCCCAAGCATCCGACTCTTGATTGCAGCGCAGGTCATGATCTCATGGTTCTTGAGTTCAAGCCCCACATCAGGGTTCTCTCTCTCCCTCCCTCTCTGTGTCCCTCTCCTACTCACACGTGTGCACTCTCTCTCTCTCAAAATAAATAAATAAACATTTTTTGAAAATTACACAAAAATTCATAGAAATAATTACCCATTTGTCCCTATATTAGATGTATAGCAAACAGCAGCGTCTGGCTGGCTCAGTCAGAAGGCCATGCAACTCTTGATCTCGAGGTCATGAGTTCAAGCCCCACATTTGGTATAGTGATTACTAAAAAAAATTAATAAACTTAAAAAAAATTTAAGAACAAATAAATAAAGATGTATGACCAATATAAGTTTAAATTGGATCATCAAGAAATTGATCTCTATTCTATAATAAGGCACAATGGTTGTCAGAGTTACAAATCATCATCTGCTACCATCTAATCTAGTATCTTTTTTTTTCAAGATTTTATTTTTGGGGTGCCTGGGTAGCTTAGTTGGTTAAACATCCAACTCTTGATTTCGGTTCAGGCCATGATCTCATGGCCATGAGATTGAGCCCCACATTGGGCTCTGTACTGGGAGTAGAGCCTGCTTAAGATTCTCTCTCTACCTCTCCCTTTGCCCCTCTG